GCTTTTGATGTTATAGCTATTACTGTTTAGAAATTTCCCAAAATGCCTTGTCTGAAATAATCACCTTTTCTTGATACCAGTATGGTTATTTCAGTTTAAAGCTAAAGTTGAGTTTATTTTTAAAACAAAAAGAATAATTTTATGCTATGGAACATAGGCTATGAGGAGAGAAAGATATCTATTCAGAGTCTATTCAAAGATATTCTATTCAGAGTCCATTACATTGAACTGGTCTGCTAATAACGTTTATGAGTGCTTTGAAATACCTTGACTCAAGTTTAAAAATTGTCTAAAGCAAAGATTAAAGAGTAAAAACTTTGTTTTACTCTTTCTTTAAAGAAAAGTTTATAACTGTACTAATGCTTTATTAAATAATTACTGTTGCTTGTCTGTGCAAAGAAGATTTTTTTTTAGGCTTTAAACTACATTGGTTTACATCAAATAACTTGAACTTTTCAAGGTTTATTAAAACACTTCAAACTTTATTAATATCCCGATAAGAATGCATGTTATAAACATTTTAAAACCGAATTGAATATAGTATTTTAGGAATCTCATATTTTAATAGAAAGTATTATTTTAAATAAAGAATGTGGCATGTGATGACAAACTATGCTGAATGTTTTAAAATTCATCACAATAAAGGCACAAGGCCATTAATCCCTTTCCAAATATTCCCCTCCCTTCAAACATACTTATCTCACGTATTTGTCACTTTCTGGAGCACTTCTGGAAGTCCGCTCTGATTAAATGTTTTCCGTTATGCTTTGGTGGCTGCCTTGATGTCCTGAACTGATTCAAATATCTACAGTTCACAGACTTTGAGGAAGCATCAAAAATTGTGTGGTGCCAGATTTAGTGAATAAGATGGATTTTTATTTCACAGACATTTCCTTAAACATGTTGATTCAATTCACAAAATTAAGGCTCTCGTCACGGTACAACCCAAGACACTCATGAGGGAGCACTTTGAGCACTGCTTCCGGAAGTGTGTGTGGCTGAAGTGAGAGGAAGTATTTTGAGGAGGATTAATGGTGATATGTCTTTGACTATAATGCACTTTTAAATGTTTAAACTTTTGTTTTATTTTCTGATCAGACCTCATGCTTTGCAATTAAACCATTATTCATGTATATCTTTATAAAAATATCTGTCTAATTGTATATATTTTCCTTTTCCAAATTGTTCTACATTGAAATTAAGTATATATTTTTTAACATAGACAGTATGTTGACATCAGTAACAAACCTTGATCTCTTAAGAATTGATTCAAATTTTCTTAAAAGCAGATCATTCTAGTAAGCACTACCATTTTGTTAACTTTCATTGTTTTGTTCAGAACGAGGGTATATGACCGAAAGAGGACAGTCTCATGGTACAAGGAAATGTCATTTTGTTTTCTTTCAGAGACTATAGGGAATTGTTTCTTTTTAGAAATAAAAGAGATGATAACAAAAGCACAATGCCCTTTTTAGAAAGGAAAGAAAATGCATGACGTGGAGAAAACTCATCCGTACTCTTTGGCAAAAGTGGTTTAATGTTGATTCCCAGAGTATTTGTTAATATTAGTCAGCACAATTATGCTTTGAGGAAGATTAGTTCTGTTTTGGAAGAGATTATGTAAGAGTTTTTTATTAAATGATTGTAGTTAGAGGATTTGGAAACAAAATATGTTTTCTAAATCAACTTAGTAAAATTAATTTTTTAAGTTTTATTCCACATTTAAAGTTTTAAATTTTAATTTAACTTCTTCAGCGTAGTGAAAACCACTTTTTATCAGTGTAGTAAATATTGCATTCTGAGAAAAAAAGTGTTTAGCCTTATTGGTTTAGCTATATCCAGAAGGAAGTTTGCATGTGAGTATGTGAGTGTGCATGTATGTATGTGCGTGTATGTGTGTGTGGGAGAGACAGAAAGAGAGAGGACTTGAAGTTTTAGTAAGACAAGCTTTAAAAAATCATCTAATTCTGACTATAAATGTGGGAAAAGTAAAGCTTGAAATATGGAGCCATGTTGCCAAGGCCTGAAATCTGGCAGCTAGTTAGTAGCAGGGAGAAATCATATCTTAATCTCATTGTTCCAGTATTCAGTCACTCTAAACAATGGATCTTGATTGATAGTGACTTTGTCCCTCAGGGGACATTTGGAAATGTCTGGAAACTTTTGTGCTTGTCACAACTGGATGAGCTACTGGTAAATAGATAAGGGTCAGAGATCCTGCTAAATACTTTCCCATGTACAGAAGAGCTTCACATAACAAAATCCAAATGTCAACATTGCTAAGGGAAACCTTTCCAAAAACTGGAATGCAGTCTACTAATATTTCTAAAGAAAGAACAGTTAATCATTTACTTCTGTTTGAGTTTGAGTGAAATTCAGCATCTAAACTTTTAAGCCCAATTATGAAAAATGCATCTGATGATTTAAAAAGAAACTACATATCTCTATGTCACTTTCTCATAATGATATATACCCAAGGAAATTGTCTAAAACGTTTAAAGTCTCACACAGATTTTGCTGTAAACATAAACATAACCTTTGCCAGATCCTAAATGTCCTGTGCCAGAACATGGCCACAATCCCGAAGCTATCATTTAGAGGCAGCAAAACCAATGTTATCTTTCATAGAAGTCATGTCCACATTTCTTTAATTGTCATGCTTGGGTTGTGAAAATTTCCTTTAAAACTACTTTGTGGACATTGTAGTTAGGTTGACATAATTACTGTAAAGTAATTATTACTAATGATAGTAATTCACGTGTGCGGTATCATTGAAAACATTTTGTATCCATTATCACTTAACTCTCACAATTTCTCTATGAGGTTGTAACAACCACTTCATAAATGAAAGAACTAAAGGCCAGAGATGTTGCTACCTGAACACATGCAACTGAGGCTCCATCTTAGGTCTGTGTGATATGAAGATTGCCCATTATTTATGTTAGATATTGTAGATCAGGTTTATTCTTCTTCAATTTTTTCCTCCAACTGACTATATAAAAACAGAGTTGATTTTTTGTTACAGCTTACATATTTTCACAGAGAATACATAATGTGTTTGTAAAGCACACTGGACATTGAGAGGTAAAGATTTCTATTCAAAAATGATAACAGGAAGAAAATATCATCTCCTGCAATGCTGCAGTAAAATTCACACATTGTGACTTGGATTTATCTGACTGATGACAATAGGTAACACAATATAGTTTAGTACAAGATGGTAGCTTTTTAGCAGGTTTACCTTGATTAATGAAGGAATCCTTTGTAACATACTAGCTATGCTCACTGATTTCATGAGAGCATGTTTCTAATCCAGATTTCAAACTACCTAATATATTGCAACTATAACCAAAATAGCCTTCCTTACAAGAGAGGTTCACTTATCAACAGTGGACAAAGTTGTTTTAAGATAACTGTAAGATATTGTTTAAGCCATTAAAATTGTAGCAGTGGGGGCTGGGGATATAACTCCATGGAATAAGTGATTACTTGGCAAGCCTGGGGTCATGAGTTCAATTCTCAGTACCAAAAAAAAAAAGAATTCCTAAGATTGTATCAGTAAAAAAATAAATTGTAGCAGTAAAATATAAAATATGCCTGAATTCAAATAGTAAGGTCCATTAAAAATTCTGTGTCTTATTTTGTTAATATTTTAAAAAAATTATCAATAATAGGCATATAAGAATGATAATGGTACCACAAACTAATACCTTCAATTCAGAAAATTAGTGAGAAAAGATAATAAAGGTTAGAAGAAATTTTTAAAACACCACACACTTTTGATGCTTTAAGGATATGTCTTCTTAATTCATTTCCTCTACAACTAGTCTAATCTGAGGCATTCTTAACATTTTTGTTCTCTTTAATACTTTTATAAAATATCCATTCATCTATCCATTTATCCATTTATACTTTCATACATTTATGCATTCATTAACACTGTTATTTGCAAAATATTTGAATATAAACATAGTATCTGTTTCATATATTTTTTGATATACATGTAACTATGTAAACAAATATAATTGGCATTAACTTTGGTGGAAATGTCTTAAAAAGAAAGGGTGAGAGTACGAAAGCTATATGAGGGTGACTGCAGGAATTTTTGATTTTCTGATTTCTTCTGGACCTCCCAGTTAAAGGATAAAGATCTGGAGTAAAGTCAGTTTTGATTAATGTTTACTACCCTACTGTTTCTCCATTATGTACTATTAAAACTTTGCATCAGTTCAAAGCTCTAAATCTAGTAAGAAGGCTGAGGGAGAACCCCGATGACAGTGGTTTGAACACATTAAGTTCTCTTCTATTCAATCACCAAGGGCCTGTATGAAACTGTAATGAATGCTTCTGCTATTCATAATGTGTGTCTTTCATCTGAATCACAGCTACAGAGGCTCACCATCATTTGGTGATGGCATCTGGAGCTCGAATTTGCTGTCCTTCCTGGAAAAGGAAAAGAAAGAAGTAAAGGAGAATAGCAATCATATCATTAAGGTGATTTTTTTTCCCCCTCAGAATGCTGACTATGCTTTCACATATGTTTCCTTGGCAAAAATGTGCCACCTAGCCAAGTACATTTGGCTTGATTCCATAGTTTTTTAAAAAGTTGTCTACATTTTTTTTTCTCTTTAGGAAATAAAGAACGGAAATGATACAACATAGGCAAACAGAAGAAGCTCTAAGAAGCACCTAGTACATAGAATACAATTAGAATCCAAAAAAAGAAGCAACCTCCCTTGTATGTGTTAAGGACTTTTAGATATTGTAAACTTGCCAACAAAATATTAAAAGTCCAAGTCTGAATTTTCCCAAGTGAAACAATGTCGTCAAATGTAGTCAGATGTTATGGGTCAGTGATTTATTAACTTACTGGTAAAATATTTGAGGCAGACAAATATTGTGGTGTGGGATTCAAAAAGATGGGAGGGTACAAACTAGAGGTAAAGAAATGGATTATTCATTCAGGTTTTGATAAAAAGTTATTTAGTTTGAAGCACAAAGCGAAGTAAAGATAACAAAAAGGCCTCTATATTGAGAGACAGAGGGAGTCATACATCATTACATAAAATTGGGATTAACTTTCGTCAGAATACTTCCCACAGCTTAGCAGTGTCGTTGGAAAGCCATTCCACCCCTCCACACTGCACCAGAGGCCGGAGAGCTCTCTCAGAAGGCCATGGAGACTGAAGCTAACAACTTCTGCCAGCAGGACTGAGGTCAGAGGGCTGACATTCAGTGTTTTTATTATGCTGTGTACACTCGGATATTTTATTAAATATGATCTATTTTTGGTGATATAACACAAATCAAATTGAACAAATGATGTTTTCCATTGTTCCTGTGAACTGCAGTATAATTTCCCTGTAAATACTTTACTGAGCAGTATTGCGATAACTTTTATTTTGCCATGTTTTAATTTTTTCTATTACATTTTGATTTTAAAATACTGAACATCTGAGTGGATGAAAGGGTGGGTGTTTCCTTCCTTTTCCACTCAGAGCACGTTGATTCAAATGTTGTCTGGGAAGCTTTAGATAACATAATATTTAATACTTAGGGAACATTAAACGGCTTTATTTTGGTTAGCTCACTTATAAGCCAAAGAGGGTGTTGTGGTATTGGCTTTGCTAAAACTTCTTAACCAATGGGAATGCTTTCTGAGTTAGTGTAGTGTCCTTAATGCGGGAATAATCCTGCTGGCCAGGACCCTGGAGCTGCGCAAAAGGGGAGAGAATGCAGGAAACTGTTGTTTACATGTGTGCACAGCAGGGAAGCTAGAGCAGCCTCGCAAGCCCAGAGGGTAAGAGAGTTTCATAACCTTGTGGTTTTCTGCTTCATTTTTCTACTTTCCTGTTGAGGGGAACATGTGTTGTTCTCAGAGCAAAGAAAATGACAGTCGCTCTGCAGCTTCAGAGTAAATCTACTGTTAGTCTGGGAAGCAGGATTGAAAGTCTCTTTTAAAATGGACTTGATTTCTTCCCTTCCTCTCCCATTTTTCACTCTGGGTGTTATTTACTCTGACATCTTGTCATAGATTTTTCTGCCTTTAAAAATTTACTGTGCTAAACAAAATGCAGGTGAGAGCTGCAGTTCTAAGATTAGACACTAATAGTCCATCTTGATGCTTAACTCTAATTCCATACAAATATGAATTAGTCAGTGTGTTTAAAGTAATGTATACTTTTAGAATAAGAAACTGAGATTACCATACAAACTCTATGCACTTTCATTTTGAGAGTTTTCATACTGAAATAGTGTCATTATTAACTTTAAACCTAGTACTAGTATTGAATTTTTATTTTACCTGCATATTGTGGAGCAGACAGAAACATGGGCTAAAACAATAAAATCTTCTACTTGCTCAAAGGGAAGGTGACATTTAATTATATAGAAATAAGTTATAGAACTAAAGATAAAAATCTTGGGAAACATTTGGGAAGCACTTGTTTATGTTTTCTGCAAAAAAAATGGTCAGGTGAGTAGTGAGCATGTAAGTCTACTAGAGAAATATATACTTATGGAAAATATTCTGAAAATAATTAGAAGTATTTAATATTTGGCACAAGCTACATAATGATCTTTCTTCATAATCTTATTTATATCAAAACCAATTTTTCCTGTTTTTTAAAAATCTTATGAATATGTTTTTGCTAAACTTTTTGTGGGAGTCTTACAAATTTTGTGGGAAGTGTCTTGTTTTGTTGTTAAGAAATCATTTTCTCATTCATAAATATACACATCCAACATCAAATATGTTTAAATTCTAACTTTTTCCTATTTTCATGAAAGCATTAAATTGAAAAGGAATCTTGATAAGCTTGTGAAGTAATATTTGTATGTTTGGTATGATTTTGCAAAGTAGTGTACTTAAAATATCTGGAAAATAGAGAAAAATGATTTATGTGAATTGCTTTAATTTCCAAAACCTTAAAAATAGTTCTGGTAAACAAGATTTGACTGTGTCTCTTTGGCAATATTCATATATTTTCATTGGATTCAATAGTGGGGTGATCTCTGGGACACAGTTTCTTATATCTCACTATAGGTGTGGCCTGTAATTTATGTTTCATCTATGGATTCAAGCCACAAAGGTAATGACTATTATTCTTAAGTCTATGGAGAATGATTTTAGGTTACTTCTACTTGAAGAAGTATAACATCTTTTTTAAAAAAGTGGTATTATAGTGTTAACTGAATTTGGCGAAAAGCTTTACACATTCTGCTTATAGTAGGGATATTAGTGCTAGAGGAATTTAAGTGGCTCTGAAAGAGGTTCAACTTACCGAGCTGAGTGTTGGGAAATTAGTTAAACCTGAGTAATTGCTGAGAACAGGAAGAAAATGCTTACTTCGCAGAAGCAGTTAGTATGAAGGGTTTCAAGGCATGAATTAGCATGAAACATAGGTTAATAATGGTGAATAATCTATGTGATTGGAGCATCAAATGCACTTTTATAGGTAGCAGACATTGTGCTCAGTAGGAAAAAAATGCGCAACATCTTCAAATTCACACAGTAATTTTGTTATTTTCTATTATACAATGAGGTGACTATAAGTTCCTAAAAAGAGAAGGAATATTTGTCTTTTTCATCACTCTTACCACCACTATCATCATCATCATTCTGCCAACACAAATTAGCAGCATTTGCTATGTGTAAGATTGTAACGCAATTAACATACATATCCACAATTTAAATAGGTGTGAATGAAATTAACTTCATTTACACATTATCTTCATTTTACACATGAAGAAACTGGGCCTTCAGAAATGTTAAATGATTGACTTAGAGCCACAGATATAGTTGGTTCTACAACCAGAATTCCAAACACTGTCTTTCTGGCTCCAGACCTATTTCCTCTATGTTGCCCTGATAGTTCAGGAATGTAACTCTGACAGAAGTTAAGGAGGATGGATTGAAATAGTCCTTGGAATAGTAGGATGCAGAGAGACAATGGAAAGACAACAATCTGAAGATTAACTCCAATCTTCCATAAATCTAAATGAATCACACTTCCTTCCGGTGGTCCGTTATTTCCTTTGTCATGAGAGAGAAAAAATTGATACTGCAAACAGGGAGTGAATTTCACATTTAAATTGGCTGTTCTCATCCTCAGTACATGCTTTTCTGTATTTTGTTGAGCTTTGCGTTCGCAGAAGAAAGCTTTTGACTTCTCAGAAAACATTTTAGAACTAATTTTTGTTGAATTATTAGTCACAAAAGAAATACTTGAATGGATGGAAGGACAGTGAGTACAGAGCAGGAATGATGTAAGAGCGAGCTATAAGCTGATGAAGAGAAGAGGAAGGGCTATAATTGCAGTAGTGATTCCAGTGAGTATCTTAGAGGGGTGTAAGATGCAGCATGCAGACTGGAAGTTTGGCTGTGACAGCAGGGACAGTCCCTCCATATAAACAGGTTGTAACAGTATCCATGAGACTGACCCATGTGGTAGTTAGTTGTCTTCATATTACTTCTCTTTTCTAAGTGAAACAGAAAAAAACCCAAAATATTTTTATCAACAGAGATGACAAAGGAAGATATAAGTTTGAAGATAAACATAGATGGAGCTTAGTAAAGTGGGCTGTAAATTCATGTGAGAAATGGGATAGAGTTGGTTTGGCAGCAGTAAAGGGTCCCTTGGAGGTTCAGCATCAAGAATTTGAAGTGAGACCAAAGGACATATTTTCTTCAAGTCTGCTCAGATGCTCTCATGCTAGTAAGTAGTTGGAATTAAACAGTTAGAGTTTTCAAAGAAAGTAAGGTGGACACAATGCTATGCATATGGAGGTGAACTGGTTAATAATGGAGTACAGGAAGGTCATGAGTTCGATTCTTGTTTAATAATGGAGTACAGAATAGGGAGGACAAAGGGAGTACGAAGTAAATGAGGAACTACAAAGAGGCAAATAGAATGAATTATAGGAGTTCCAAGTCGGGTCAAAGAGCAGAGTAATGGAGACAATAGTAAGGTAACGAGTGGTGTTTCTCATTAATATGGGAAGAAATACTAGTTTGGTAAGGCACTTAAATTTTTGTTTTGGAAAACATATTAAACCCCTTTACTACTTTACCAGTTAAATAGCAGTTGGTTTCACTGGCTACATTTAGTTACTCATTCCCATGCCAAGATTATTATCTTGTCAAGAATCTTATTCACTTTCCTTCCCTTGGTTTATATCATATTTTCATTGGTCCTAATAACTGCATTGGAGAGCAATCTTTAGGCAGGGATAACTTCAAGACAAACGTTTTTATATTTAACAAATTATTTTTCTATTTTTTTAAAAACCCAACATAGCAACAATAAATACATAAACAAAACAGCATAGAGAACAATAAAAATGATACAGAACTTCAAAACATGGTGATAGGATGTTAACAATGTTTGTTATACTACACAATGTCATCTTCAAAAGGGAAACAGTTTTCACTATAAGAACCACTGCTGAACTCCTACCATTTTGTATGGTGAAGCTCTGCATCATTTCCAATGTTTTTTTAAAAAATTATTTCATTTTTCATTTTATTTTATTTTTTTTACTTGTTACTGTCTTTGATTGTTTGATCAATCTTACATTCTTATGTCCAATGGACTGAGCAACTTCGTTGAAGATAATAGTATGTAACATAGCAACCATTGTGAATTTCTATCATTTTGTCTTGCGGTCATGTATCATTTTTGTTATTTTTGTGTTGTTTTGATTTTGTCTTCATTGTTGTTTTGTCAGTTTCTTAATTTTTAAAATGAAAAAAGAGTATAAAAAAACAAATTGTAAGACCACAATTTTACTAAATGTTTATTCATTTGCCAAAATGAAATAAAACTGTATTTAACAATAATGCTCAAGAAATATGAATTGATAATATTTTTCTTTTGCTTTGATTTGTAATACAGCCAATAATTTAACAATTATATATGTTTTCAAGTTCAACCATCTTTACAAATAGCTATACAAACAGCTTTAGACACATTTTAGTGAGAATTGCCAATCAGTGATTAGACAAGAATTCTGAGCAAACACATACAACTTTTGGAGTGATGTCTATTTTGCTGTGATGTGAGTACTACAATGTCACTTCTTCTTCCTGTAATCGTACAGTAGAAAATAAAAATGTCCTGCTCACTCCATCTAAATGGCAGCTGGAGCTGCTTTAGTATGTTCATTTTCAGTGGAATGCATTTTTAAAACATGGATTTGTGAATAACGTCTCAAG